TAATCAACCCAAATAATGTGAAACCCCTAGAGAGGCTAACAAAAAAGTCAACAACACAGTCATTGAAGAACTCATTCAGCTATAACTAACAAATCGGCTACAGGTCCATACAGAGAATATCAAATTTAGTATAAAAATGCATAGTTTATACTTTGCATTTTATAGTAGCACACTTACTTATATAGTGTTCACATGTTATATAGAACACCAAGCAGGAGGGTGTAAGTAAGGTGCACCACACATGTTCACTAATCATCAACTACGATCTAGACTCTGAATTGAGGTTGCCCCAACCCTTACCCAAGATAAATTACCTTAAAGGATCCCCCTTGTTCTACTTCTTTGTCTAGTTTCAGCAGAAACCCATAAACCGAAGGTAATTTATAACCATGCTGTCCCAATGATAAAAATAACTCATGTCTTGACAAAAGTATGGTTTAATCTTTTTTAATCTGGACAATATGAAACTGCCCTATATTTTTCACCACTATTTGATTACGCTAAATCTAAAAAAAAAACTGTGCAATGAAAGAAGCAGGTAAAAATTATCAATTAAAAAATGTTATGTATTTCAGTTATATGTATTTGAAATATAAGTTAATATAACTTTTGGTGATTGTATAAGTATTTTTGCACACTGGGTTTATTTCTCAGTTTTATTAACTTTGCTTGACTCTGTTGAGAGATTTTACTTATAAGATAAGACAATAACACTGATGACATTAACTATGTTATAAAATAGTATTTGAATTTGGCCAATGAATTATAAATCTTAAATTATGAGTTTGTATTAAAGTCAGTGGAATGTTCAGCGTACATTCGTAACTTTAAAGATAACATTAATAATATTTGGGTTAGCGGAAGAGTGCAGGACTTCGGTCTCTGAGGTCTCGGGTTCAAATTCTGCCAATCACCAATTATTGATTTTATCTCATTGATAATGCCACAACCCCTACGTCTAGCCTTAATCTTGAAGTAATGTGAAAAACAATCCCGAGATAGGGCTTTGGGTCCTCGACAAAAATAATTTAAGCTTATGGACTGGTAAAGTGGTTTTAATCCTTTAAGATAGGATTAGAGTTTTATAATTACCAATGTTGCTAGCCATGTTATGATATGGCGACCTAATTGGCTGGAGCCCTCCTTAGGTTCCTTTATGGAGTTAGAACATAAGAAATGTCTCTTAGTAGGGTTTACGTGAAGTGCCCCTATTACATAGCACCCCTTCAGTTAAAGGGCTAATATCTTTTAGCTATGACCTAGTAACATTCATATCGAATGTTAAAAAGAGTTAAACAAAAGGACAATTTTAAGTAAAAAAAAATTATTTATACTGTATTATACGCAACGAAAACAAAGGTAATCCAGTCATACTTAGGGAATAAACATCTTAACCCTAATCCTTTAGAAGTAATATTTTTACAGAGTTGAAGATTATTATTCAATACGACTTAGCTTAAGTATTAATTTGAGATCCATTAACTTTACAATCTAAATCTCTAAATCGTAAATTCTAATTATTTTCTTTCACTGATGATAACCAATGGTTGAACCCTTTGCATGTTCGAGTTTAATAACTAGTCTTGTAAAATTATGGGGGTTTCAAGTTTACGAATACTCCAGTGGTGTCTGCAAAAAAGTAAATGTATTTTAATGAAGGTTTGAGATGTAAATCGATTTTAAAGTTTTCCGACCCAAAATGGAGGACGATTTAAGGTTGGGTTGGGCCCTGTGAGTTGTAATTATAAGGCTAACCGCAATGAGTGGTGGCCATCCCCGACCTACCCTACTGAAACTTAGTTAACCCTCCATGTATAATATATCTCCTCCAAAGACTTTAGTGTATTATTTAAGCGCTAAGACTACATAAAAAGCAGTAGTTTCAATAGCGAGATTTGGTTTCGCATTTTGCTATGTAATTCATTCAATATTTTGGAGGTTGTTTAAAAATATGGCTACCAAACAAATAATATATCTATTATTTAATCCATTCTGTGCTATATATTGGGTTTCTTTGTAAAATAAAAATTTTTACTGGGGTATATGTTAAATATGTAAATAACCATCTTTTAGTTTACTGTGCAAGTTAAACCCCTCTTAAAGTATTTTAAACAATAAATGCTGTAAAATGTAAATTATTTGTTTAAATAAACGAATTTGTTCATGAAATCGTAATGTGACATACATTTTAGTAGCCTAATTAGTTCAGGAATAAAACCTAAGTTAAGGGGTCAAAGTAAACTTAAAGTATAAATGCAAGCCTAATTTTAAATTTTAAATTTCAAACCTTTTTATGAATTTGTGTACATTTGACGTTAGCTGAATCTAGTTCTTAGGATTTGCTTGTATATTCTTTTTAGCCATGAATATAATCAAACCATTACAAATACGGTAAACACAAACCAATTTCAAATTCATTAAGGTTGCATTACATAAACAACATTTCCATTATTGCATGTTGAAAACGATGTAATGGATTGATCAAACTGATGAAAATGTTATTATATTGGAATTTTCAAGCCAATTAAAAACTTGCTGGTGCCAAATCAATTGGCCCAGATGGTTTTGATCTTTACATCAGTGACTTATTTAATGCAAATTGCTTTCATACCCGTAATATTTCTTTAAGTGTTTGGGTAGTATTTCGTACTGTTTGAGCCATGAGTAAGGCACAATATGTGATATTTTGGTCCATCCATATGAATATTTGTGTTAACAGTGTTCTTTATTATCACCATGCGTATCACTATATCCAAAAAGATCACTTTAAGACGGATAAATTAATTTTAAAACATATAATTGACATCTTATTAACACCAAATAAATATACCATCGCAAAATTCAATTTTCTTAAAAAAAAAAATCGTATAGATCATTCAAATTTTCGAACATTGGAAAAGGTTTATGATTTTTCTCGTCGATTAGTATTTATTGTCTGGGTTTGGTACTGATCGTAACGATGAAATGTATAGTCTAATCGTCGATCGTTACATTAAATTTTACTCTATAATCTACATTTTCAGATTAGATCAATGTACTAACTTAATCAATGAAACTAATAAGTTATCAATGTAAATCAATGTTAATAATGTAAAATCACCATAACAAAATATGAAAGTTGAGAGTCCTTGGAGTCTAGACGTTTAACTCGTAAAACAGTTAAAGAACTACAAAGAAAATCTCTAATCCCACAGTATGCTAGATATTTACATTAAAATCACTCTGATGTTTGAAATATATTTAGGATGTTAAATAACTCTTCAGCGGCTGTTTGATATAAACAAAATTAACAATGCTCTTATAGCAGGCAAATCCAAGATGGCCGTTGCTTCCATGGACTCCCTTGGAGAACAATTCAAAACTACAAAGAACATTTATAATCTCCCCTTAGATATTTAAATTATAATCGGTTTGGTGTTTGAAAAAATATTTTCGGGAGATAAAAAACTCTTCAGCAGTTGTTTGGAATCATTTAAGATGGCCGCTAGCCTCCGAGGACTCTTAAGAAAGAACAAGGACCACTTAAAATGTTGTCCATTAAAAAGTTGATACCATTGGTAAACTTTAACCTATTCAAAGACATACTTTAAGCCTGTTAGTGATAACAGCATAAATTCAAAGGTTGAGCTTAGAAATAAAAACTCAAGACTTACATTGTAGGTCTATGTAGTAAGATATAGTAGTAATAATTATTACTGACGCTGAACTGCTCCAGTTAAAAATCTTTACTATGTAAAAATAATGTTTAAATAATCAAAAAACACTAAAAAAAGAGAAGCATTACAAAAAAAAGTCAAAACCTTAGGTCAAATTACTAATTTGGTTACAATGTGTTCTTTATTTTAAAAGATCTAGATAATGAAGTAGTTTTTAATAACATAGATTTTAATTTTTTAATTTCAAATATTTACTGTATATCAACTTATTGAAATCGTATGAGAGTTTTTTTATCATAATTCTCCAGTAAAAATGTTACTAATAATGACTTGACAAATTTTTTAAAGTACAAAAAAGCTGTGAAAAATAGTCCGATCACATGATATAAAGAGATTAGTGGCTACCCTTTAGTTAGGTTTAGTTAGGAACCAGAAGTGGAATTTATTTACAGTCTCGGGTCGGTTATCAAAAGCGGTTTTCCGGATCCCAGCTGTAACCACACATTATAAATATGTGATTCATTTTTGCCACATTCAATGGACTCATTTACGGAAAACGCACGTAATTCGAACATTAGCTCAGTTAGAAATCTACTTAGTCACGAGGAGTTATAAGAAAAGAGATTCGAGATTTTGGTAAATTATTAATCAATTAATCCAAAACGTTTCATATTAAAATTATTCATTTTGAAGAGAGTTATCTTATATGTTTGTATTTTTATAATTTGTACACAGAATGGATGTAAGGAATATTTTCTCTACGAACGCGTCAGTCCTACAGAGAGTAGTTTTTCAATTTATAAAATCATGATTTCTCCATCTTTCTAGAACAATCTCTCTATCATTCTGGAAACAAAACCTTTATCTTTTTGACTTTACTTTTCTACTTTATACACAATTTGTCGATCCTTAAACAAATGTATATTTTTGGACACAAATTGTACGTTTGCATAAACTGTTTAACTCACTTTTAGTTTCTCTTAAGCTAGAACCGAGCATTTAAAATTTCGAAGAACAGAACCTTTTACAGCGTCCACGAGTTCCTAAACGTACTCTGAAAGGTGCAACTTTTAATTATTGTAAATTAGTAATTAGTATTTTTGTATTGGGCCTAGCAAATGTAAAATTTATAATTGTTAGTGTGACTGTAGACGTCCCATGTGATGTGAAAAGTTAGAAGCCAAGAAAATAGAGGAAGTTCAAGACCATCTCACCAGAGTTTAGTAGTGTATTGGGTTGAATATTAATTAAAACCAATGCAGTATCATAGCAAACAGCTAATTTATTTATCACTTAATTGTTTAACCAACTAAACTACTTGATTTGATCAAACATGTGACTCACCCTCTCCAGGTAGCCATAGTTGACCTCACTGGTCGCCCACACTACAGGAATGCCCGCCGCGGCGGCAGCGAGGGCCGCAGTCATCCCTTGGACCTCCGGGGCGAAGACGAGGACTCCGACGACGACTCTCGGTCTGGCCCAGGCTGCGGCCAGCTCGCCCAGCATGGGAGGCGAGAACCCGGGGGGTAGAGGATGATAGAGTGTGGCCAGAGTGAGTCCAGCGGCCGTCAGTTCCGGGGAGAGAGAGGCGAGAGTGCGGTTGACCGCGCGGGACACAACGGACTCGTGCTGGACTGAGTAGGCGACCGCAAGGTGGAGCTGGATAGGCGGACCCTTCCTGTAACAATTGACAATTTGTATTAATTTAGGTTTTGAGTTTTTATCTAAAAGGTACTGGAAGGAGGGAAAGGAACGCAGTAGATCAGGAAGTATGTCGGCAATGTGTAACCTTGTGTACCAAGAGTGCGGTTTTATTTATTGTTATGTCGACCATTCACATCCTAGGACGCTAGTTCTAGCCCAACTGTTTTACACATTACTTCAGACTACCCCTAGAGGGTTTCGGCATTATCACATATATAAAACCTATTGGTGATTGGCGTGATCTGAACCTGGGACCTTGGGCAATAAAGCCTCAACCTGTACTACTAGACCAGATCGCTCCCCAAGAGTCACTGCAGTAAATTAAATACAAAATTTCATTATTTAAGAGGCAAATTTAGGACTTGCAAGTTTTCTCTACCACTTAAGGTCTAAAAAAAAATTAAATCTATTCGTGAAAACCATAGACAACCGTCCGATGATGAGGGAAAATCCGTTATTTTGAGCAATGATAAGGTATCAGGCACTGGTAAGACGGGTTGTTGGCGGCTTGTGTGAATGGATCTGTTTAGAATCAGTAAATTATATTTTTGTCATGTTTAAAATATAATACTTTTGAAAAGATTTCAAAAATCAAGTGGCTGTAAAAAAAACTAAACATAACTCATATTATTTCGTTGTACTCTTTTACTATGCTCATTTTCAATGCTTTCATAAGGCTACAGTGCTACATCTGATTACCACAACCTTTCACACAATTTTGCACATTATTTTCTTCAACAATGCTTAATACTTAAGCTGCTTTACAGTATATTCTAAAACACTAAAGGGCATTGAACACACAATCATTTACATGTATAAATACTGTATTAAATATACAAAACTCAACGTCATGATTGAAAATACTAAATCCTCCTTGTTCATTCAATTTAGAACAAATTAAATTTCCCTATGTTAACAGTATGATTTACACTTTACAAAAATCATACTTGGTATGTTTAAGAAACCCCTTAAAATAAATAAACATAACAACAACAAATAAAATATTTCTGTAACGAAAGTGTTTTATAATACTAGTAGTCGTTTGGTATATAATTTATGTAGCATGAGATAAAAGTTACCATCACACATCTAGCGGAGGCTCCGCTATCTCAACTGTAATGTATCATACCCGCATCATGTCTTCTACAGTAATTAGTTTTGTTTACTTGAAAACGTATGTTGCTTTTACCACACACTTAATGTTAAATGATAATACTCTTACCCTTCCTTTTGACGTTGTAAATATAATATTTTCCTAGTGAATTCAGTCCTACAATAGGCCTACATTTTTGTTAAGTATATAGATCATGATTATAAAATGAATTAAGAATTAAGTTTTGAAACCTTATAGTTTATCGAATTCAAATTATTTTACGCTAGACATAGTGTGAATAATTTTTTTTTCCAAACACTGTCTTAGAAGTGAGGATGAAATATTTTTTGTTCAAGGACGCTAGAAACGAGTCCGGAATTGTTTTTCACATTCCTTCAGGCTAGACCTAGGGGTTGCGACATTATCACATGGATAAAATCCATTGGTGATTTGACGGGATTTAAACCCGGGACCTCTGGAACCGAAGTCCCACGCTCTAACCACTAGACCAGCTCGCTTCTCCGAGGATCGATTATAGCTTTAAATATAACAAGTCAAAGACTCTAAATTATAATATTACTGATGAACAATTTAAAATATCTTGTAGTCAACTTCGATTAGTGTTTCCATCAGGGAAACATTGTTATAGCTACAGTTTGAGACGTATTAAAGTAAATACCGAGTGCTATTATATTACAGGGGCAGGAACTGATTGGTTCAATCAGTCTTGAAAATCGCCTTCTGGCAGGAAATGTTCTACACCATCCAATGTCCTGAGGTCTTAGTTTTAAATCTAATCGTTAGTCGTTTATGCTTTGTTTGTACATAATATCTTTTTCAATAAACCCACGAAGAAGAATACAATAGTTCTCTTAGAATCACTGTATTTTTTTCACCAAAACGATACATCAAAAGAATAAAATCAATTGTATACCGTACTAGCTATTTTATACAAAATATAAAAAAAATTTCAAAATGACCATCAAGAAGAAAGAAAGTTTAGAATTTAGGAACTGTGTTAATAAGTAGTTTAGAACCGTTTCCAACAAAGCACAACATAACGATATACTAACCACGAACTAGTTGTAGACAAAAGTTTTACTGTACGTTTTTTTTTAAGATTTAATCATATCCATGAGAACGAACAGTATAACAGTTTGAAACAACAACAGTTTTACCTGTAATTTGATACTTTGTCCTAACAAAAGATGCTAGTAAAAATAATATCGATGGTGGTAAATTGCATGAAAAGTGTTTCTTAAAATCACATACATTGAATGATTTATTAGATTAAATTCAAACAGTCGTTTGAAGAAATATATAAACCTCTTGATGAGATTGAAACCTAATAAAAGGAAGGACCAATTACTCATATTAAATATGAATTGCAACTCTAGAAAACTATCCAATTAGTTTTTAATTACAAACTCTTAATCAAGAATTCTGTCCACAGAAATGAACAAACTAAAGCAAACAATGATTTTAATTTGGATAAAGGAGTTCACAATGTAAAAATGTAAGAGAGACACTGATTCAGTTAAGTTCCGTTTCAGAGTGTAAGAGTGCATAAACTTGCTGATAACGTTGTCCCATTCATTATGAGAAGTAGTGGATGAAATGTTTGAGTTAGGATTGTCATACTTTTACATCAGTGGCAGGCTTTTCTGTGGAATACTTTGGTGATATTTTAAAAATAAGTTATCAGGTAGGTGTTGTAGTAGAGTGCAAAACTTTGGTCATCGAAGTCCCGAGTTCAAATCCCACCAAATCGCCAATTTTTTTCTAAGACGCTATGCACGATCCTGGGATATTTTTCTCATTAATTCAGGCTAGACCTAGAGGATGCGGCATTATCACTTGGATAAAATCCATTGGTGATTTGGTGGGATTTGAAGCCGGGACCTCAGGGACTGAAGTCTTGCGCTCTAGCCACCAAATCACCAATGGATTTTATCTAAGTAACGCCGTATTCCATGGGTATAGCCTTAACTACTTTAATGTAAAATACTATCCCAGATTAGAGCCTACTTTCCTAGAAAAAATACTTATAATAAAGTCAGCATAACCAATAATTAGATGCATCATATTTTTTTTTTAATGTAACTTTTCACTTCCTATAAAGGTAATGGAAAATACTTTAAAGCTTAAAAATGATTCAATGTGTAGTCCTTGACTGAAATCCTCGATCAGCAAGAGCATAATCTCTTAGGACAAAAAGTGAGTAGAGTTCGAGACTTCCATCGTGAAGGCCTTTGTCCAAGTCTTGCAAATCAGCAATGTTTTTTAAATACATAGTAATAATGTCACTGTTGTACAAACAAACACACCATCTTTCACATTTATAATATTAGTATGATATGAGATAAATTTAAAAATGGGAAATACCCCTTGTGAACAAGCACATAATTTAAACTGAATTCTCACAAAACGTTTGAAACAAATTTGAATATCAATTGTTTTATAAGTTTATATTACTTACAATGTAATTCTAAAATATAAAACTTGCTATTACCACTCTATTCAATAACCTAAATAGAAAATATTAGTTATTTTTACCTATTTTTAATCAATATTTCATTGAAAAATTATGTCTCGTTAGAAATATATATCTCTAAAATGTTCATAAAATAAATATGATTTTTTCATTTGCTATTGTATAATTTCCAATTAAGATGACACACAACACCATACACGTTCAACATAGAACCTCTACCCAGGTATTAACTATGTTTGCACAGACACTAAGAGGAATACATTTCATACTAATTAGCCTACAAAGCCCAAGTACATCAGCAAACATAACAAATATTTATGTTATATTTTCCTACTACTTTGTAGTTTAATGATCGCCTATTTCCCATTGTAAACAAAGACTACTACGGGTAAATCATTATTATTTGATTTTAAAAATATAAAACTCGATTTTACGAATCTTGGCTATTTTAGGTAATTGTTCAACATTTCATTTCAAGATTGATCGAATCGGGCTCAAAATATATTAACAGGCAATTCTCTGAGTAGGCAGGTGGGTTGTGAGAGGGCTATTCATCACATAAAATATAGGATATGCTTTAATTTCCTACACCACAACGCAACTTTCATCATTTTATTTCTACTATTTCATTTATTTAAAAAATTTTAAGATACAATTTTTTTTTTTTTTAAGTGTTTAGTTATAATATTTGCAGCGAAAAGTTTTGCACTTAACTCATTCGTTGCAGGGCTGTATTTTTCACCCCGAGGGTACAACAATCTGCTGGAGTCAAGGACTTTATCTATACATATCCTGATTTTAAAATTCGTCCGTTAATTTCCCCGATAAATACAAAATTCAAAAATATACATACGATATTGTATTGTTGCATATTTTTGTCATACTACGGAATAAACGGTTGTTTTCAATTCATTATGCGTTGTGGGGTTAAAGTATACATTTTTATCTTTATGTAGAAAAAGAATAAGATGAAGTCAAGGAAACTAACGGTACATTAGGATGATTGTAAAAGTTTTTCAACTGAATTTTCCGAAAAAACAAATAAATTACCATGTCGTAATATTTTGTTTTATTTATCACTCCCTTATACTGATTATTTTGCTTTAAAATCGCCTCTTTACCTTTATTTATACAACAATACAAAAGGTAGAGTAATAAAATATGAATTTATACTAGCGAAGTGTTGCATATAAATAATTTCAACAACGGTTTGTATATAATAGCGGAAGAAGAAGGGAACTATTTCGTTGGATATAATCTTTAAAGCCAAACAATATATGTACAAATTACGTATTGTGAACTACTTTGCTCGAAAGATGGTGCAATGTGACTTAAATATAGTTAGTTACATGAGTTGAAAGTGTCTTTTTTCAAAAGTCAACATTTTCTATGGTTACACTAGAGACCATGTAAAAATTTGTTATTTTATTAGCAATATTAATTTTCTTTTCCAAATTTGAGAAATAAATGAGAACAGTTTAATAAATGAAAAAACAAATCAGACGAAAAATAGATCTGAACAAATGTATTTACTTTACTCTAAACAAACACAGAAAAATTAGAAATGACTAAAATAATCCATATCGATACAAGTCACCTGGGAGTTGTGTAGGATTCTATCAGCTGATTTATTACCCCTTTGATGTTCCATGTATAAAGTGAATATTCAAACTTCACACGAAGTGTCTCCAACGAGAATTTCTGCTTAAATTTTCCTATGACAAAAATGAAACACCCCCAATGGCAAATTTAATTATCAAGTAAATCTTTAGTTACAATATTTAACTGCATGTTCTTTTTTATAAGTTTTAATTATATAAGATGTATAAGACGATCGATTCAGCTATTTCTTATTCGATATTTTTTTTACTTAGTATCGTTTGGTAGGGGATTAAAAATTCCAAATAAAATTATTATTGACATTTTTTTATAAAATCAGCCATCTTTGAAAAATTTAAGTCTAAAAGTTTAAGATGGCCGCTATTTTGAAATTTTAAGTTGGATCAAGATGATTTTTCAATTAACATGGGTCTCTTACCAAGTTTTAAAAAGACTAGGTGAAACCCGTCGAAATCGACGGTTACTTTCAAGGCTTACGTTAATTCATCTAACCGCGATAAATTGGGCTAAATATACATATTTCGAGCATTTAGCATTGTTTAAAGAGTAATAAGTGTAAAAACAATAATATTATTTATTGCGCTAATTGCCAAATTTGGTTGATCATTCAATGAATAAAATATTCCCCATACCGTACGTCATCGGAGTTATTATTAGTATGTTATATCGTATATCTTCCTTTGGAAGAACCTTTAAATACAGTATTAAAATCGTATTGGTGGATCTTTTCTAGTTAAACACTTCTGTAATTTCATCAGTGTAATATGATTTTATTTCAAAAGAAAATATTTTTTGGGAAGACATATTCTAACTTTAAAGGGAGGTATATCCGTTACAGTGTAATTTTATTTTTCCTTCGTCACGTCGCGTCAGTTCATATCGTATTTCTGTGCCAATGAATGAACCCTCTAGCATAGTTTTGAGAAATTGATTGTGGGGTTATTGTTAAAACTGGAATTCCTTGACATGGGGGATGTCAGTTAGTTGTCTCAGCCTTATCAATAACATAATGTTGTCAACATAATGTCTCTACGGAATGTTAGGTGTAGTGGAATACTGTACTTGAAGTGAAGTTGGCTTTTATTCTTGAACTGCTAGGAGCCTCCTAGTTCATATGGTCTTGCGGCTTCATTGTCAACAAATAATGCAAACGACATGGCAATGGGACATTTCCAAAAAGCAAAAATACTGTAAGTTGGCTGTTACGTATATATTGACGTTTACATATTGTTAATCAACGTATCTTATAAAGGATTATGTGATCTAGTTTAAAAGGAATATGACCTTTCCGTCATGACAGTAGCTGCTTAAATAGTATTTTCTCTTTGTACCATATTCTACAGCCAAAATGTGGTGAAATTTTCAATAATGTTACCAACTCAGTGCGCCAAAGTTCGTAATATAGGCAGGTGCAAATAATTTGTCAAGATGGGTATCATTGTAGGCAAAGTTTCTATGTTTGGATTTTATTAGACACGATAAGAGCAGACATTTCTACATAAATATTTGATATGTGTAGAATAATATGATAAAATGTAGGAAAAAGTGGTGAAAAAGGTAGATACCAACCCGTACAAAAGATATAAGATAGTTCAATAACAAATAATTTAAGAATTGCTGTGATAAAAGGATTTTCCACTGATTTCGTAATGGAACGATATATTGCAAAACATGACATGATAAAGAAGAAAATCAATTTTAAAATCAGAAAATAACATTGCAAATAGTTACTTGGTAGAATTTAGTAGCTCCCAATAAATGTGTGTTGTTTGAAATACAATTCAAAAATGAACAGCTGTTTCATTAAAAAGTATTATTCACATGGTCAAAATGTAAACAACTCTGTGGATGGATCTTTAAAGGCTTCTGGGGCAGAGTCCTAAGGGATTTTGCTTAGTTTTTTCTTTTATAACTCATCTACAGACCAAGACCTTTCTTTGGACATCTCTACCAAGTTTCTACGCCCAGCCGTTTTCTCAAATTAGTGGGGACAAAGTTTCCAATTAAATGTTTAGATTCCCCCATTTTAATCTTATGGGAGGAACTCCAACTTTGATGGCCTGTGGGGCGAAGCCCGAGGACTTTTATTACAGGAATTGGTGAAAGGGGGCGTCTACACAAAAAATACTTCATTTTGACACGTCGTTTGTAAAAATCCGTCCATTATTAACGGAGTAGTAGTGTTTTGTAAAAATTGCCTTCACGTATTATATATAAGGATTGGTTAAAAAATTCAAAAATAAAAATGTTTTTTTGTTAAAAATACAAAATGGCGGATATCCAGTTAGCAATGTGATTTTGGAAGGAAAATTATTCTTGATTTTCTCTTTATTTTGACTCAAGGAATCAATACGTAAATTATGTCCACATCTTTTTTTAACACCCTGTATAATTCACAAGTATGAGTTTCTAAATAAAATACATTCAGAGTCCAAAACCCCTTCTAGAGAGGGTCACTGTAGCTTAATATATGATGAAATAAATGCTATATGTTGCTGAATTTCTAAACATCTTGCTTTGCGATTTATCTGTTTGTTATTCTGAGCAAGTTAGAAATTTTGATTGACATTAGATTAATGGTATCTACGAAATTGTGTACGATTTAATCTGGGTCTAATTAATAAAAGTGTTTGCAATAGCTTGCTACAGTTGGTATCAAATCAACATGGTTTGAACATTCCGCTATACTGCCGAAATGGCTGCAGAATACTTGTTTAAATCCCCAAAGCTTAGCAAACCACGTCTTCAACCTAATCCCTATATTGAATGAAAGTTAATAAAAATATTTTTACACAATCTTTCAATACTTAAATATTGTACCTAAAGATGTATCCTAGTTACTAGGTTTAAAATGTAAGGGTCATTTATTTCAAACACCTTAACCTATAGCCAAGGAAAACAACCTATTTAATTCTGTGATACTCACCCATGGACGCCAACCGTGGAGGACCTGCCAGGGGGTTGCTTGTAGGGTTGTGGCGGTGGTGTTGGGAGGGTTGGGGGTGATTTGTTCCACACGGCACACAACAACATCATAGTAAGTTCTGTGTTACTCACCCATGGACACCAGCCGTGGAGGACCTGCCAGGGGGTTGCTTGTAGGGTTGTGGCGGTGGTGTTGGGAGGGTTGGGGGTGATTTGTTCCACACGGCACACAACAACATCTTAGTTAGTTCTGTGTTACTCACCCATGGACACCAGCCGTGGAGGACCTGCCAGGGGGTTGCTTGTAGGGTTGTGGCGGTGGTGTTGGGAGGGTTGGGGGTGATTTGTTCCGCACGCCCCACAACAACATCTTAGTTAGTTCTGTGTTACTTACCCATGGACACCAGCCGTGGAGGACCTGCCAGGGGGTTGTTTGTAGGGTTGTGGCGGTGGTGTTGGGAGGGTTGGGGGTGATTTGTTCCGCACGGCACACAACAACATCCACGGCAGCAGGCACGTCACTACCAGTAGAGCGTACGGGCGGTACAGGGACATCGTGCTCAGTCAGCCGATCTCGAACTCCAACTCCTGACCTGCGGAGGAAAGTTCCATATTTTTTAAGTTTTCTTAAACTCAAAACAGCAGTTACATCAAGATACAAATGATACTAAGAGAGTAGCTATACACTTTTCCGGAGTTCTGAATTACATTATCTGCCGGGAACTGTTCTAAACATATTATGAAAACCTTTTGAGATATGATAGAACGCCCTTTCAAAACTATCTCACTCTATGTTTATTTTATAGGGTGTCCCGGAACTCTCTACCAATATTTCAGGGCATTGCTCCTGGGTAAGAAACATAACTAAATATCATATTTAAACTGTCCGGAAGTCCTTAGTTACTCACACAGCCGCCATTTTGTTTTTTTCAGTTATTAATTTTTTTCTAAAGAATGGTTAAACATACGAAATGGAAACTTTGCACAAACATTTATGACAACTAGAAAAAGCTACCAAAAAATTATCACGATTTTTCAAATTCATAAAACAAAATGGCGGTCATTTAAAGTTTTTGTAAAATCAACGGTTTTGAGTTATTTAAGAAAGAAAATTTTAAATGGCCACCATTTTGTTTTATGAATTTGAAAAATCTTCATAATTTTTTGTAGCTTTGTCTAGTTGTCATAAATGTTTGTGCAAAGTTTCCATTTCGTATGTTTAACTATTCTTTAGAAAAAATTAATAACTGGAAAAAACAAAATGGCGGCTGTGTGAGTAACTAAGGACTTCCGGACAATTTAAATATGATATTTAGGTACGTTTCTTACCTAGGATCAATGCCCTAAAATATTGGTAGAGAGTTCCGGGACACCCTGTATTTGTGCTATAATACAGTAGAGGATACTGTTTAAAATGTATTTATTGAGAGACAAATTAAAATTGGGTATCGGTACTTAAGTCTTAGTAAACTAGTCATACTTATTTTATACTAGAATAGAACATAGTTGGGTCAGCAGGCATGTTAGTTTTTCCTATTTTAAAGTTTGACACGATTGAGGCTTTAACTTAAAGTGTCTTATATAATGATAGTTGATTAATTGTAGGAATAAAATAGGTAATAATGAGTACGCTTTTTCAGTTTAACACGATTCTAAAATATTTCATGTGCAGAGAATCTGTATTTTACAGTTGCAAACCTTCTGAAAAGGGTGATTTCAATATGTCTGATTATTTTTTAAACTGGCTACTTTCATAACACTAGGAACTTAACCTTTGTTGTGTTCCTAGTCAAATCGTATAACAAAGCTGCATGTCACAAAAAAAGAAAACACTGTAGACTATTTCTTTACCTCCCATCGTGCCCGTAGTCGTCACGCTCCCATCATACGCTGTACTTCTTGAGTGTATAAACACGCAGAAGGTGGATGGGAAAGTTCTTGCGTCGGACTACTTTCTTTCTCCAAATGAAGACGACCATGGTCAGAGCAGCCCTCGAGTTGAGTCCCCTCAGTCAATCTGTAAGTGGATAAATCAAAAAATGTATACTGTATCAAATAACTATTGGTAAACCCACATCCATAACACCGGTAGTATACACTTACAATACCATATAATTAAAAATATCTCAGATATAACTTAGGTTTGAAGCTACTAATCAGCTGTTGCAATTAATCAGACCTTATAACATACTCATCATAAATTGGATATTACTTTATTAACAGTATACTTCTTCCTGTATACAAAACTAGCAGAGTACCCGTCCTTCGTACGGGGTTGGCAAAATGCTTATTGCAGTTATACTCGTGCTTTGCGTTTGCAACGGGAGAGGACACGGTTTATGACAATTTGGTTCTTTTAATTTTTATGGTATGCTATAGTATAGCACATTACCATAGCAATAATGTTCTACCCCTGCCCCTAAACAATAAAAAGTGAAATTTTCGTTTTTCACAGCTTTTGTCACTAATTGGTTCAAATTAGCGGTGTCATAAATGCAAAAAAAAATAATAGTGCCACACCCTGTTGGTAACCCTTATAACTTCCTAATGCTTTTTAATATTATAGAACCAAATTGTGTAGTTGAAACAGCTGACAAAATTCTTTTATTCCTTTTAAATATGAATACTCATAAGGTTAACATGGGAAACTCCAGAGCCACTGGGGCAGAGGCCGGAAGGATTTTTGAGATACGAATGCGTCTATGTTAATCGGGAATGTGAGCTACCATCACACCAAATTTCAGCCCAATCCGACCAGTATTTTTGCGTTTACTTGTCACAAACACCCATCCATCCATCCAAACTATCTCACTTATGATATTAGTAGGATTGAAATCATGTTGTTCATTAACATGATGGTGATTTCGAAATATTTGAAACGGAGCGTTTGATTTTTTTCGATCACACTCTTTTAAGCTCAAATCTTCAACATAGACATTTTTAGTGGACGCTATTCATTCCAAAAACTCAATTTTTAGTATTTAATATTCATTTAACAAAGAGATTGAAGCATATTCCGTCAAAAAAAAATAGATTCTTTTTTCATCGTTTGGATTAAATCAATAAGGCAAAGCAAATCATAGGATATGTGAACCTTTTTCCGGAAAACTTGTATTGATTAACACTTGTAAACAAATGAATCTTAAACAAACAATAAGTGAACAATAAACCAAATATGTTAACTACGCGATTACCTACTATATTCTGTCAATACAAGGAGAAAACTAAGTTTATAATTTAAACAGTTAGCAAATTATGAGGATATAAGTAGATATTAAACACCATATACACCATTTAAAATGTTTTACGATTAATAGCACAGGAACTTTAATTCCTCATTTACAGTAAAATATCAATTTTACTTGTACAATGTAAATTAATTGTTCAATCTGTGGTTTAAGTTCAAACAGTTTATTGAACAGTTCATCAATTTTATCCATTTATTGAGATGGGAATTTTGAGGGAGTGCTGTGGGAGAGGGAGAATTTATTGAGGGGGAGGGGGGTTTTTATTGAGGGGGATTTATTGCGCTTCTAGATGCGAGAGAAGGATGAGTGTAATGTGATCTGTGTAGCTTTGTTCTTGACTAAGATCAGCTGTTTCATCAGTCAAGATCATATTTAGCCTATGAATCAGATTGCCCAGTTTCGAACCATCAAAAAGCTACCAACTTTTCTCAGGATCGAACCGTAGGCCTTTTGATTACTAGGCGAGCACTATAACCACTCATCTACCCAGCCAATTTATTAAAAATAGTCTTTTCCAACCTTTACGATTCATCGCTCTCTATTCAACCCATATAGGCCCACAACCTATTAAAAGAAAGAATAGATCACATGCTTTTACCTTTTAATGACCCCTTACAACTACATATTTCCAAGTTTTTCAATTTATTTCACCCATACCGTCGTTCACTGCAAACTGACTGACTGGTTTTAAAGAAGTTGCCGTGAAAAGTGGACGACCCAAAGGCAATAAAAAGTGGACAGAGGTTTACGTTTGATAATAAAACTGGTCTGTCGACGGTTTTATTGCCTGCAAACTGTCGACCGATTTACGGTCTTAAATACCTCGTAAAGGCCATCCTTCAGGGCCAAGCTAAAATAGTCTTTAAGATACCCTTTATGGCGATAACGATAACATCTCCATTACTGACCTTCATAAGAAACTTGTCGATCAGGTCACGCATTTGTATTTGATTCTTAATACAATAAAAAGCTTAAGTGAACAACTCACCTAAAACGATTGTGTTTACTGATTTTAAACCCTTAAGTTAAAATTGTATGAAATAAACCCGTAACTAACTTTTAAAACAACATGCAATCTGGCATAAATAGTTATCAGATACCAGCCAAATACCTGGAGGGAAAATTGTCAATATGAGAAAATGGTTTCTTGTATTTGTTTAAGCCTATGTATGTAATCATGAAAAGGATGCTACACTGGATGGGTAGCTGAGTGGTTATCGGGCTCGCCGAACAATAAAAAGATCACCGGTTCAATCCTGAGAAAAGTCAGTGTCTTTTCGATTGTTAGAAACTGGACCCAGCTGTTACTGATTGTTGGACTTTAAATAAATGATCCTGACTGATGAAACATCTGGTCTTAGTGACAAAGCTACACAGATCACCTCACACCATTCTACACTCATCCTTCACTCACTCATATTTAGGTTAAAATACGCACCAAGGTGTTGTCCCCATCTCAATGATTGATAATTAATAATAATAAATTTTGATGATCGAAAGAAGTGGGGGCCGAAGCCAAATACCACCTAGGGTATCGATGGCCATGGAGTAATTCTAAAAGTATAATACAGGGTGTTTGTTAACTCTCTCGAAAAAATTCACATTATTATTCCTTGGGTTAAAACATGAATATTTTACTTTATAAACATGGGTCGCCGGAGCCTCGTTTTCTGTCTGTCTGTCTGTATGTGTTTTTTATAAATAACTTTATAACTCGAGTTTGAATCGAGGTACAAACTTTAAATTTGACACGCTGGTGTATTTTAACGTGTTACACAAACATGCAAAATTTCATTTCGTTGACTATAGCCGTTTCAAAATGGCGGCCATCTAAATTCTTTGACCTCGAATTACATGAAAACCACTAGAGTTACAAAAAAAAAACACAAGGATAACAAAATGTGGGAAATTTTATGCCAAATCAAATGACACTTAGATCTTAAAGATCGGACAACAAACAGCTGAGTTATACACTTTTTAAATAATTAATAATTTCTTTACTGGCTTTTAATTGTTATTGTTTATTCTTTAAAATCATATGATCCTTTCTAAATTGGCACAACAATGTAAAACAGCTGGTTGGACATACGATTTTGAGATGATGATCACATGATTATTTTGAGTTATTAATTTTTTTTTATAATTAATAATTTCTTTACTGGATTTTAATTGTTATTGTCTATTCTTTAAAATCATCTGATCCTTTCTATATTATTGTTACAACAATGTAAGACAGCTGGTTTGCCCTAACAACAACATTTAGTTTTTTTACTAGATGGTAATTGTATTAAGTGTCCTATTTTTACCTTAACTATTGAGATCTGTTTAAGGTTACGTAATGTACTCTGTATCAGATGATTTTAAAGAATAAACAATAACAATTAAAAGCCAGTAAAGAAATGATTAATTATTTAAAAAGTTTATAACTCAGCTGTTTGTTGTCCGATCTTTAAGATCTAGGTGTCATTTGATTTGGCATAAAATTTCCCACATGTTGTTATCCTTGTGTTTTTTTTTGTAACTCTGGTGGTTTTCATGTAATTCGAGGTCAAAGATTTTAGATGGCCGCCATTTTGAAACGGCTATAGTCAACGAAATGAAATTTTGCATGTTTGTGTAACACGTTAAAATACACCAGCGTGTCAAATTTAAAGTTTGTACCTCGATTCAAACTCGAGTTATGAAGTTATTTATAAAAAACACATACAGACAGACAGACAGAAAACGAGGCTCCGGCGACCCATGTTTATAATGTAAAATATTCATGTTTTAACCCAAGGAAAAATCCTGTGAATTTTTTCAAGAGAGTTCACAAACACCTATATGTATACATATATTTACGCATGTACGGACGTATTTATTGTAAGCCCATACAACAATTTTAAAACCTTTCATTTGGTCACGGAGTTCATTGATAAGACTTAAAATTTAATCAAAGTTAAACTTATTAAACCTGTATACAATTCTCCTGATCACTATGCATTTGTATGTTGTAGCGTGTTTAAAAAATCTCTTTAATTATGAATGGTTAAATGTCAACAATGCATCAGAGTCCATCAGTGATTGGTGATTAATGATCGAATATTGACTATAAAACGATAACAGAGGCGTCGATGATCCAGCAATTCATCATTGTTGAGCTTATTTATTAGAGAGATTCTGTTAAATATTTGAAACTTTCAATTCAGATGTTTAACAATTTGACCATTGTATCATGTTTTATAGGCTAATCAGCTTCCAATAATTTATTTCTGAGTTTTTTTAGCGTTATTTAATGTTCTACGTTATCACCTTATTTAAAGGAGAGCATTTTTTTTACTTTAGGAATCAATCTTTAAGAACAGTTTATTTTTGTTTCTGTGGAATACATAGGAGCTAGAAATTTGTTTCATGATAAATTTTCATGTGTTTCGTGTAATCCAATAGCAAGAACGTGGCGTATGGTAATGTGTAACTAGTTAATACTGTTTTTACAGTATTCTTTTTCTGCTTGATTCGCCTTAAAAACAACGTAATTCAAATTATATTAATATATTAGTTGCAGATATGACAAAATTCTCACTTATAAATTTAAGGGCTGCTGATTTACTTTCTAGAAGAATCGTTGCTTGTCTCAATTAAAATTTGTAGTGTTGCATGTCTTTAACACGTTGACTACCGGCGGCACTCTCCTCCATTAGTGGAAGAATATTAGGAAAATAATTCGGACTAAGTGGAAACTTTGCACAGTT